AGGAAATGTTATTGGTTATAATTGTATTTATCGTTATGATATTACAACTGGATGTTGGGAAAGATTTCCTGTAGAATATTCAAATCTTGTATATAATGTTGTTCGAATTTCAAACTATAATGAACAAATGGTAACTAGAATTAAACCATTAGATCAACAATTTTTTGGTTTGATAAAATTCAACGAAAGAAACAAAACAACATAATTCTTTTACTGTCAGATTTAGAACAATTTTCAAATCAAAATAAACTAACATTACCATCAATTTCAAAAGAAGAACATATTCCAGAAGATGTTGTTGATTACGGTTCACGTTCAGAATTTAATGGTTTAGTTCCACCACCATTTGCACCACGTCGAAGTCGACAAAATAGTACATGTAGCGTTCGATATGCTTCGTAAGTTCTATATGTATACTTTTGTTTTCTTTAATATAATAGTTATTGAAAATTTATAGATTTGTTCCACCACCAGCAGCAGCACCTGTTCCGCGACGTCGTGTTATTGAATCAATTCTTTTACATGTTCAACGAAAGTAAGAATAGAAAAAAAAACATTTGAAAAATCATTGATATTATCAAACGAAGAGAAGCAATAACAATGTTTGATTTAGGACTAAGATTTTTACGTGTATATGATGGCAACTTTAATTATCGAGAAGGACATGAAGTAAGTTAGGATTATTTGATGATAGTGAATAAAATATTTTTCTAAATGATAAGATCACATGTAAGCTAAGACTAGAATGGAAGTATAAGGTATATGTATATGTATATATTTTGTAGATGTTGATTGTTCAGTAGGTGATATTGAACCACGATCAGCATTGATACTTAATTATAAAGGTCAATATACAAATGTACATATTTAAATATATATCTGAAACAGTTGTTATATATGTAGTTTAATATTTTGTTTTTGTGAATATTAATGAAAATGAAATTGAATTTCTTTTTCTCTTTGAATGAATCATGATTTTCAATCGATCAAACATTCTTAACAGACAAAATATTACTATCTTAGCCATTGTTTATTGATTTCACAGGTGTTCATATCGGTAGTGATGGATATCTTCAATTATTTTAACATTAACAACAGATACTTTATCAAAAATCACAAGAATCAAGCGTTTGATGACTGTATCTAGCTTAGTTTAGAAAATTTTTCGTCTAGATCCAAATGTTGTTTGAAACGCTTCTTAAGAGATTTTGTATCATACACATCGACAACTATTTGAATGGAATAGACTTACAATCGCATCTACTTATTGTGAAAGTTTGTACGTTAAAAATAAAACTATAAATGACATAAGATTCATTTCATATTTGTGAAAATGATACTATAGTAGAATATAATAACACTCAGTTATATTACAAATAAAACAAATATCTTATTAAATCTACTACAAAACTATTATTTCTTTCTCTAAACTATTTGATAATGAAATGAGATGAACTATTCACAAACAATAATATATGAATCCATAAGATATTATAACTGAAAGATCCGGATTATGATCTAAAGTCAAAGTTGAACAATTTCATACTTTGTGGAATAAATCAATATGACGAAGAAAAAGTAGCTCTGTGTATAGTTTTATCTTGATATTTCAACAGAACTTCTCACTAGATATTCTACACTAATCAATTAATTTAAGACTCGCAAGAAGATAATTACCGATCAGAAAGAAATATTATGTATAAGTCAAATTATTGTCTATTCTCTTTCGTTAAAATAAGGAAAGGTGGATGCCAGTATTTTTTTTAACTGAACAATATTCATATCCTCATTCTCATTACATCTTATATCTGATATAACTATAGATTGTTCCTTAGATTATCTTTTAGGGTTGTTAATTATAATAAAATAATATATAAGGGTAGAAAAACAAAGATATTTTATTTATTTGGAATCGAATATTAAAGTATGAGACAACTCAGTAAAGGTATCGAAGAAACAATTCGTGAACATCATAAGACGCCAGTTATTCTAACTAAAGTATTGTTTGGAATTTAACCTACTTGCAAGCAAAGAATAAGACAACTGAAAGTTAATTTGTTTAAAATAATGAATACAATTCTGCACTATTTAAAGCAATTCTACCATTGTATCCACTAGTAACTAATACTAGTCCATTTGATAATACAGATGCTGTGTGCTGACCTCGTGCATTGGTCATATTACCAGTATTTGTCCAAGTACTTGTTGATGGATCATACAGCTCAGCACTAATAAGAGCACCATTGTGAGCTCCACCAGTAACTAACACTAGTCCATTTGATAATTCAGATGCTGTGTGATAAGCTCGTGCATTTGTCATGTTACTAGTAGTTGTCCAAGTACCTGTTGATGGATCATACAATTCAACACTATCTACAGCACTAAATTCAATGCCTGCTCCACCAGTAACTAATACTTTTCCATTTGATAATACAGATGCTGTGTGATAAACTCGTACATCATTCATGTTACCAGTAGATGTCCAGTTACCTGCTGATAAATCATACAGCTCGGCACTATTATAAGCAATATTATCATTGTCTCCACCAGTAACTAATACGTTCCCATTGGTTAATACAGATGCTGTATGTTCTCGTCGTGCATCACTCATATTGCCGGTAGTTGTCCAAGTACCTGCTGATGGATCATACAGTTCAGCACTATATAAACAAATATTGCCAATGCTTACACCACCAGTAACTAATACTAGCCCATTTGTTAATACAGATGCTGCATGCAAATCTCGTGCATTAGTCATGCCACCAGTAGTTGTCCAAATACCTGTTGATGGATCATACAATTCAGCACTATTTAAACGACCATTACCATTGACTCCACCAGTAACTAATACTTTTCCATTTAATAATACAGATGCTATGTGATGCTCTCGTGCATCAATCATACTGCCAGTAGTTGTCCAAGTGCTTGTTGATAGATCATACAGTTCAGCACTATTCAAAAAACCAATATTGTGATCGAATCCACCTGTAACTAATACTTTTCCATTTGATAATACAGATGCTGTGTGTTCTTGTCGTGCATCACTCATATTACTGGTAACAGACCATTCTAGACAGAAACATTGGATTGTATTTATTCTCAAAAGACTGTCTCTTGTGGAACTCTCAAAATGATGAAATCATGTGCGGAAAGTTTCAGATTTTGTAAAATGAATATCGTTTCTTACTTTTGATACAAAGTTTTTCGAACATTTTTGAGAATACAAATAATCACAAATTTGTTGTAAAAAATCATTCTTGATATACAGTACGAAGGTAAGTTTCACGTTTCTTATAAAGAATCGTATGCGAGGATGGTATATGAAACAGGTTTGTATTTTATACTTGCCGTTACAATGTTTCTAAGAATTAATGCACTTTTTATTATATGTAGCTTCTATTGATAATAGTCACTTAATGAAACTCCCTAGGTAAAGGAAAAGCGATCCTTATTGCTTTTTCTGGTTCGTTTCCTACGAATTTTCGCAGTTCGAAACGGTGTCTAGATACGGTTGCATTTACAGCACCATTCCAGACTAAGAAATGCGGTGATTTCTCATGACCAAAGAATATAGACTATATCCTATCGTGTTCGAAATCTGGACTCTGGCTTATCCAAAGAGCAGAAGAAACAATCAGAGATGACGAATGAACTAATAAATAATACGCAAATACAGCTATTTATATTTACACACGGAAGAGAGTGAAGGAGAATTTATTGGCATTTCCATGCGCGAAAATACCGTGCGTGACAGATATGCGTACGCTTCTTTGTGACAAAATGATTTTTTTTATTCTCTTTTCAGTTAAAAGTACCATTTAGGGAGGGTGGAAAACGTTACTATGGAGCTTACCTGAGTGCTGCGTTGTGGTCGTAACTGTTGTTTGTGGTAAAGTTGTGGTCAACGTCACTAGTGATGTTGTTGATAATGATGATGGTGGTGTTGATATTGTTGTTGTTAGTGATGATGATGATGTTGCAGCGGTGGTACTAGTTTCTGATTTCTTCGATGCAAAAACGACGAAGTTTAACAACAGAGCAAGGATAACAGCAAAAACTGTTAAAATAATACCGGAAATGCCGATTATTTTAAACCGACGGTGATGCCACCATTTGT